GCCTTACACCTCTTTTGCCTCCTCCTCCTCCTCTTCCTCCTCCTCCTCACCCTCCTCCTCCACCGCAGCCTCCGCCTCTTCCCCCCCGCCCCTGCCTCCTCCTCACTCAGAGATTAAACATACCACCGGGTGAGCCCAGCTCACTCTTCCTCCTCCGCTGCTGCCTCCTGCTTCCTTCTTCTTCTGTCTCTTTGCCATACTACATACTGCAGGCGCATCACAGGGAGTGTGAACACTGCAGCAAATTCGACAATGCATTCCAAAACAACTGTGAAGTCCACTCAACCCATCTGCCAACTCAATTGCACACTCAGTCACTGTCTTCCAAACTGCCACCAAGATCCTTAACCTTCTGTTCAAGTTTCTTGATCTTTGCCAGCAGTGCTTTCTCCTTATCTTTCAACTCATCAATGACCTTTGTATTTTCTGAATCCATCCTGCGTAATCACAACAAACACACGGCCAACATCGAATCACAGAACTTACGTTAAGCAATGATGGACTCTCCCTGTCCAGTCCAGGGTACATAATTCCCCGCTGGTGTCTTTTTTTTTTCAGAAAAAGAAAAAGAAAAAGAAAAAGAAAAAGAAAAAGAAAAAGTAAAAGAAAAAGAAAAAGAAAAAGTAAAAGTAAAAGAAAAAAATAAGAAAAGTAAAAGAAAAAGAAAAAGAAAAAGTAAAAAAAGAAAAAAAAAGAAAAAGAAAAAGTAAAAGAAAATGCAGCCAGATCAACTAACTTCGCGATTTTCCTCTTCTTCGTTTTGCCCCAGTTGCAGCTCTGTGGAATTTGTCCTGGAATTAAAAAATTAGTTCATTCATTGTTCAATACTACGCCACTTCCGCTTAGTTCCCAAAAAACTTGACTAGGATGTATCAGTTCTGTATTATAAAAGAAGAGGAAAAAAAGTTCTGTAATGCCTGGTAGCTGCCAGAGGAAGGGGTTAGTCAACTACGTTCCTCACCTGAATACAACATATGGTCATTATTGCTGTATTTAGACTGGGGTATAGACAAGATACCCCAAATACATACTGCTTTAGTGACCGATTCGAGTGAAGAAGGTAGTTTTTCATCCGCAACCTATCATGTACTGGTTCACGACACTTTTCCACATGGCTACAATCCAGACCACCGGACAGGGATCCGAACTGTCTGTGGTCCGGGGTCCGGGGTCCGGGTCCGGATCTCGGTCCGGATGTGTGGGCCCCAGCCGAACGGGCAATTTGTTTTTGGGTGGTCCATGGCGTTTGTTCACGCCCTGGGCCGCCCCCAAAAAATGGTGCCTGATTTTTTATCCCCCTCGCCAACGATCCGGAAGCCCTGGGAAGTCTACCAGGGGGTTTGGTAACTTTGGTTTTGTTTCCTACCTGCGGCGCAAGTGTGTGGTGCACCCGGAGCAGTGCGGTGGTCACGATGCACAAAAAAAAAAAAAAAAAAGAAGTCGCTGTTATGTGTGAGAACACAAGAGAGAGAGAGAGAGAGAGAGAGAGAGAGAGAGAGGGTGAGCAAACAAATAGCTCCTTATAATTTATTAGAAAACCCCTGCGGGTTACCCGAGAGGGCCCTGCAGATAATTAGCAAGGGCCTTCTCATCATGAACTAAGCAATGCTTATAGCCATGATAGGGTCATGGCACGCCAAGTAAATATGCTGTGGATTCACATTAAGGTCCGTGTTTCAGCAGTTATGGGACCACTGAGCACGCGAGTTTCCGGGTAGTAGCAGGCCAACTCACCACGCGCTTTTCAGGGCTTCCCTCCACTACTCACCAAATGTGCAAAACTAGAATGAATCTTCTGCTAGAACATGGAACCRTAYGCCGCCATATGTTTTGTCTTTTGTGCAAGTRGTGACGAGTGGAGCAAGGCCCTTAGGGCCACTGCTWGTAKGAAAASGAAACAAAAGAAAGAGAGGAATGAATCTTCTGCTAGAACATGGAACCATACGCTGCCATATGTTTTGTCTTTTGTGCAAGTAGTGACGAGTGGAGCAAGGCCCTTAGGGCCGCTGCTCGTAGCAAGTAGTTGTAACTTGTGACCCATAACTGCTGGAAAGCCGACCTGACTTCGGATCCAGAACATATATTGCTGGCCTGCTCCGCTCTCACACAAAATTTGCCGAACGTCTCTTGCAGATGCACTGCTGGGGTCCTTCGGGAAAAAGACTATTCAATAAGGAATATGTGGGCCCAATTTTCTTTTTCTGTATTCCTCTGTCGTCCTCCTCCTCTCTTCTTGTCTTCCTCCTCCTCGTCTCCTCCCCCTCTTCCTCCTCCTTTTTGAATTATTTATTTTTTATTTGGTCCACTTCCCCATTAGTGTGTGTCGTCTTGGCGCGGGGCCCATGCTAATCTTGCCCTTGGGACATTCATTAACATTGGGAGGAGAAGATTAGCATGGCCCCTGCACATGGATGACACACTTTAACTGAGAAGTAGGAGTAGAGGCGTTTTTTTTCGTTTTTTTCTTTTTTCTGGACAATATAGGGGTCCGGACCGGTCCGGAAATTCCGGAATATTCCGGTTTTCCGGAAGTCTGGATGGGCCCGGGGGGTCCGGGGTCCGGTCCGGTGTAGCTATGCTTTTCCATCACCCGAATACAACGTACAGTCACTATTGTTGGATTTAGACTGAAAGATTCCCCAAATACATACAGCAATCACCGTCTCCCACCAGCTTGCTGCCCAGGAAGAATGTCGATTTCAGGTACTGGTTGACGACACTTTTCCGTATGCTTCACGCCGTTTTTACTTTCGAAGAGAAGAGACCTCAACCATTGATCTCTATTTCTATTCTGAGTGGTTTCGTTCACTTATGCTTTCCCTCTTGATGCCGTCAGTTATGCGTTTTTGCGGTGTTGGTCAGTCATACCTCACGATGGACTTTGACTTTATTCACAACAATGCCTGTTCGTGCATGCTCACAGTTGACTTCATTCACAATGTCTGTTCCTGCACGGGCACTGTCACCGCTCAAAGACACCCCCGTCTTTTTCTCTTTCTTTCTTTTTTTCTTTCTTTCAGTTTTTAATTTGGAGAATTTAGGACCGTTTCTCGATTCGCATGTGTCATGCTTGAATTGACAAGGGCCACGCTAATGTTCTCGATAGCGTTCCAATTTTTGACCACCACAGCTAAATGTGAGGATCTGGGTCCTCGGCAGGGCTAAGGGGCCTCTTGCTGCAGATGTGCCCGCCCTAAGTGAAGGCAGGCCTAACAAATCACGAGAGGCCCTAAGCTGTCAATATCGTATTTGGGGTGCAGACAGTTTCGTCGCGCAAGTTGGTTGAGGGAAACACAGGCCAAGCAGCGAGACATTCCATGGCCTTCCAAGCCTTTCCAAAATGATGCAGGCCCTGGACGAGAATCGCAGGCTCAAACACAGAGTTGAGAGGCCCAACCGAATGAGGCCCAGTAGCTGCAACAGAGGTGCAGCATCCTGGGGCCTACCTGAAGCTTCTGGGCCCAGGCCCAGGCCAGCCAGTCTGCGAAGGCAGGCAGGCTCTTTCCATACAGGAAAGAGCTCGCTGCCTGGAGCCTCATTCAGCACTTGCATGCTGGCGGCAGTGCTGCTGGAGTGGACGCTCGTGGGCTGCTGCTGGTGCTGAGAGGCAAGGTGCTAGTGCGTGCGGTCGTGCAGGGAGCAGGGCGCTGCTGAGGGCAGCGCCATAGCCCAGCCTCCATAGCTGGATGGGCTTGGACTACAGTGAGGCGCAGGGGTGGTCTTCGGGTGTACAGAGGGAAGACGTGGAAGTAAGTCAGGGGAGAGAGAGAAGGATGATGATGATGAGGATGTGAGGGCACATACCTGGTATTGGCCATGGCCTGTATTGGGCGACATCTTCAAGTACTTCGTGGGCTGCTGACGTCAACAGTCGCATTGTCAATTAGTAGGCAGATTGTAGCTGTGTAGGAAGTAGGCTGGGCGCCGAGCGCCAAGTAGGGAGATAGGGCCTGGATACTCATGTTGGTGGTGGCGAGAGCAAGCTCTCATTGACATTGGTTTTCAGTGTTACGATTCTTCATTGGTGTTATATTGGTGCATTTCTGCTTTCTGGACACTGTGATACTATCTGGCCTTCAATGTGATTGTGCATTCTGGACATTGTCATTTCGCTATTGCTCATTTTCCTTGCAATTTGGTATCGGAGCTGGTTCGAGCTGCGCTTCATTGGTTCTTCACAATAGCTGTTTGGTGCTTCACATGAGGTGTGCGGCAGTGATAAGGCTTGGGCGTTGAACGATTGGCGGCCCAGGGTCGTGTGGGCGCGCCAGGAAGCTATGTGGTGACATTAGGGGTGTATGCTGGATGATGAGAGCTCGCTGATGTGGCATTTAAGCCGAGGTGGAACTGCATTCTGCTGTTGATTGTGCCGAGGCAAAGACCGGTCATCATAAATACACATCTGGTTGCCGGTGAGAAATCCGTGGTTGGGGGCAGCATTAAGAGGTGCATTGCTCTCTTCCTTATCTAACCTCTTCATTACTTCTTACCGTGAGGAAGTGAGTTCTGTCTTGAGAGTCCTCTCAATGTGAGGTGTCGTGAGCGCTCAACCTTGAGAGTCGACATTCTTCCTGGGCAGCAAGCTGGTGGGAGACGGGCGA